TTGCACAAAAATATTTTAAAGGTTCAGATTGCTAACACTTTCAATACAGTCAATCTATGAGAATAATGGAGTTATTTTGATGAAGACAGCTGCAGGGTCATAGACATCCTATTTTTCGTTGATTTTTGCATTTTGTTTTGGTGGTGTGGTATTGAGAATATCCTGATCGAGACAGATATGTAATTGTACATGATATGAACTTTTTACATCTCACTTGGCCATCTTGCACCATCCTGACTCCATTAGAAGAAAATGGAATAGTTGGACTTGTGTCTTCAAAGCTAAAACCATTAGAATAACTGAAAACTGCCCACATTACTTGAGAGGTCCTCACTGTTTGGTTAAAAAACACTTTCCAAAGGTGTCTTTTTTAATAGTTTTTCAACTTTGTCAACACAAATTTATGATATGATGATAACTTGCTATCTGGTTCAAATGTTCACTTGAAGTTTCAATTAGTCGAATTTATGTTATTCAACATACTTAGCCAAAACTTTGTTTCAATTTCATTGCTGGCTGTTTAGCAGCAGTTGTGAGCATGTTTATATCACAAATCTCTGATAAAAGTGCACTTGATATAGTGCACTATACTAGTACTAGTAATAACTAGTACAAGCCAGTTATACTCAGGAGTTAGTTAATGCAATTTCTTTTTAAGCAAAAAATTTTCTAAAAAGTGATTTCTATTTTCGTTTAAAATGTCGGCATTGTCACTTTGTTTTCACTTCCATTGATTGTCGTGCACTGTTTATTGCCTATGCCAAACAAAGTTACTTGAGTTTGCAAGCCTTTTAACTGCAGGCAATTCACATGCATCATGGTGGTACTGTACCCATTTATACAAGTATCCTCATCAAATATTTATTTATTTATACGTGTATATGTATATAAGTATGTGTGTGTGAATATGCATATCTATCTTTCCACACATCTATTGGTATATCCGTCAATTGATCAAGAAGGAAGAAGAGGAAGAGGAGGAGCAGGAGGGGGAGAGGAAGTTGTTTTCATCCAGCAACACAATTTAATGACCTGAGAATTATTAATATGACAAAATGATTGTAGAGAATATACACATTAGTGTGGTTTTTTTCTCTTTTATGTGAGGAAGATTGACCCTGAGCTAATGTCTGTGGCAATCTTTCTCTATTTCACGTGGGACACCGCCATGGTGTGGCTTGATGAATGGTGCTAGGTCCATGCTGGAGATCCAAACCTGCAAACCCTGGGCCACTGAAGCGGAGTGCGCTAACTTAACTACTGTACCACTGGGCCAGCCCCGTTAGTGTGTTTTTACTATAGGTTTTTTTTTAATTGTTCTAATTAACGGCAATAATGCATTTGAACCAAGTTTTTACAGAACCTCTGAAGAATTGCAGCTATAACTCAACGGAACAGAGTTTGAAAAATAATGGTTTAGCTGAAGGCCTTTATTTCTTTTAAAATGCAAATACCTCTACTTTCACCTGCAATTAGTCATTTATACATTAATGTGAATGAATTTATTAGACATCTTCCTGAGGCTTGGATTTAATTCAGAAAGAGAGGGAAGTAGAAAGATGAACTCAACAACTATAAGAAATGGGAAAGACTGAATATTAAGGCTCAGAGCACTGAAGACCTACTTTATAGTTTTGCTTGAAGACCATACCGTCTATACATAATACACTCACTTGTATTTTTCTTGAAAAAGCTTACCAAAAAAGCAAAAGACAAACCCAAAAGAAAATATCTACTGAATTAGATGAGTCTGAGTGTGACTGCGTTTCAGAATTGCATCCAACTGTTTTAAAATATTTTGCTGGAACAATAATATAATTAAAAGAAGTACTTATAATTTTGGTCAACTTGAGTTACATCAACCATAAAATTTCTCACTAGTGAATTTAATAATTGAAGATAGTCTAATCTTATTCTGTAAGTGTTCTCAAAGATTGTAAGCAAATTAATTGTGAAGGAGTCCCAGATCACACACAGCATAATATAAATGAGGATTTAATGTCCCCAACCTGATCTTGTACCTTTGGTCTGTGATATATTTTTAAATTAAAAACAACTTGCAAACTTTGTTTTAATTTAAATCTTTCTACTAAATAAAATATTTCGTTACAAGAATCTAGTTATGTATGCTTCCCCCACACTCCCCCTACCACCAAAAGCTTCCTGAAGTTATGAAAACAACATCCATTCCAATATAGTAAAAACTTAGGTTCAACTGCAGACTTTTTACAAAGGCTTATCAGAAAAGTTGTTAGTTAATATTTAAAGAAAGCGCTTCCTGAAAAAGAAGAAAGTTACATTATTAAATTTTTCATTTCTTTATTTATATATTTTCTAGGAGTAAAGATATTAATTTGAATCTGGGTTAAAGAAACGTGTTGCACTAGAATTATATTTCCCATATTTCATTTTAAAGTCAATACTAGTAATCATTTTATGTAAATTTCAAAATATATTTAGATTAAAAATACTGACTGACCCTCACATTTAGTACTACTGTTGTTTTTGTCTCAAGAAATTAAAAACAAAATCAAACATTAGAAATATTTACCATTCAGGAAATGCAGGTATTTTAAGTAGTAAATTTCACTTCTTACTATTAGGTATGACATTTAAGAATTGACAGAATAAATGTGAAATCAAAACTTAGAAGTATTTTGAGGTATTTTTGGCTTTTCTGTTACAAAATACATCAAAATGAAAAAAGTTTTCTTGATAAAATTAATAAAAAGGAAAGTGATGAATACATAAGTCTATTTTTTTATATTCAGCTATAGATAAAGTCATCTTTAGCAGTGAAATTATACTTATCTTGGACTAAATTTAAACCCAAACTACAAGCATAGTCAGTTAAGAGAGGGAAGAACAAATTGAGCTGAATCAGTTATGAACATGTTTCCGCTATTGCTCATGCAGCGGCCCTCAAAAACTCTGATTCTTACTGTTTTTCTCCATGTCTGTATTGAAAAAAAATCGTATTCCTAAGTCACAAAACCTATAGATTTTCTTTCCCAAGTTTATGGAAACTTGGTCCTAAGAGTTCCACAGTAGAAAACAAGAAGACAGAACTGGAAGAGAGACCCTTTCCTACGGTTATGGGCACTGAGAGTCTGTGACAATACTTCTGGCTGATTTGTCTATGTTTTATTCCAAAGGTGGATTCCTGCAAAAACCATACAAAGAGAGATGCATGAGGCCAGCAAATGGCATGTCTGCAGTAGCTCCATGAGGGGTGTACAGACACTTGTCCTGGTAGGGCACAGCCATGAGTCTTATAAACTTCAGTAGCTCAGTGGGCAAACATAGTTGGCAGCTGAGCATTGAGAATCAATCTAGATACATATCTGGAATGTCTACATGCAAAGGACATGCCAAGTATTGGTATGTAGTGACCAAACAGAAAAATAAACCTGGAAACTACTATATATATATATATATACATATATATATATATACATATATATATATATATATATATATGTAATGTATGTAAAACTTTTTTTAATTATATAGGCTACATTGCTATGTAATATCTATGTGCTCATTGCTTCCCTAGGGAGAGAAGAAGATTTTTAAATTTGATCTTAGTATGGTCTTGGAACTAATTTTAATACCTAGAATTTTTTTATTAATCTTAGAAATCTAGTAATCTTACATTAAACATAAATGTAATATTAATGTCAATAATTCCTGGAAATTAGTAATTATACCTAACTCCTCTCATTTTTAAATTAATATATCACAAATCTACTCCTTTTTTCTAAGTATTTCTCCTTCAAAAAACCATTTTCCTCCATGTTTTCAAACAGTTATATTCATTCTGAGCAGAAAGCATTTTAATTTATCTGGCGTCATCTTGCTGGTACTAAATTACATTACTGTTCAGGAGTTCTCTCTTTAGGATTGCCTATATATTTAAGGGGCATCAAAACCTTTTGTCACTGGCAGGTTATAATAAGTACTTCTTTCATGAGGATACCTAACACTTTCTCTATCAATCTTTGTCATCCTCATGGCCACCAAATTCCATATAATAGAAGTCACCACATACCACCAAAACATAAAGCTATTTCCCACCACCATCAAGCCTACCACCACCCTCATAATTATTTATTTAAAAATATATTTATTTATTTTTATTAGGCCCATAAGGCTGTAATCTCTTCATGTTTTATCTTTGCTACACTGAGCTGAGCCATATGTTTTCTTGGCTCTCTGAATGCCAACAATGGTATTAGGTAGGTTCTGGAACACAAAAGAAATATTATGGATAATATACATAAATTATTGGAACAGGATTAATTTTTAAAATACTACCAATTTGATGGCTTTGTTTATAAAATCTGTCAATAAGAATTAGTGTGGATTATATTATAATGGAGTTGAAAATTCTGATCCATAGCTATTCTATCCTATTTTGTTAGTCCTTTGCCCTCTGTTTTCCAGGTCTCCTACTTGTTGTTATTACATTTCTGGAAAAATAGCAGTAGGTAACCAAAATTTATTGTGGGATATTTAAACATGCTATTATATATGGTACTTAGAACAATAGCTTAGTGTAAGATAGCTTCAATGTCACATCCTGACTGAAGAAAGCCAAGAATAAAGAATCTTGCAATACAACGTTAGAAAAAACTTAACTAGGCCCTTGTTACAGCAGCTCAAACATCCTGAGCAAGACAATCATAGCCCAGAACGTAATGTACAATATATCCTATATTAATAGCCACTAAATACCCACATGTATTTTATTTTCTGTGGGGAAAGTTCTATTCAAAGAAGGGAATAAAGAAGAAAAAAAATTATAAAAAATATAGCCAGTTCATACATGATTTTAGAATTTATTATAATATAACTTAATTGCACATGTATATCTGATAATATGAAAAATACAACTGCATAAATACATAAACTAAAGTGTAATGGAAAATTCTTTCACTTTAATGTAGTTTGAAAGCAGATTATGAAGCAATTTAACAAGTAAGCGTTAGAAAGCTTACCTTGACTTGCAAACTTCAACTCTTTGGCATCTGTGAGCGTGGTCCTTTTGTCAGACCCTTTTTTCTCTATTCGGCGATGGCTTCGCCTTTTCTTAGACTCTCCCCAGAGATTGGATCCTCCATGCATGCTCGGTATATTCAAAATAGCAATTCCTTCCAGAGAGATGTTTATTAAGTCTATCTGCACCCCGTCACACTGATCAGTAAAGAGAAAAGAACAGAAACACTAAGATGTTTCATCTTTCTTTCCTTAATTTCTTTAGCATTCCCTTATCTTTTAATAAGAGCTTTTAAATCCATAATATTGCCATTTCTAAATAAACTTTTCAAGAACACTTAAATGGTTACCCTAAATGTCAATATAAAAGATAAAGCAGCCACTAACACTAACCAGTTACCATTAATAGTCCTTAAAAATGATCAGATTAAATCACTGGTGTGTCTTTGTTTACAGAAAACCTTAGGGAGGGACACTCTTTGGTGTCTGTGTATATAACCAGCTGCAAACTTCCAATGCGTTACAAAGAGGATGATTCTGGGACGTTTGGTCAAATTTCAGGCAGAAATTTTAATGATTGCCTCTATTTAGGACACACTGCAAAGCACTATTGGGGGAAAGTAAAGAAACAATTCATAATTCACAGTCTCACTTTTTTGGGCAGAGAAAGAAATAGTTTAAGACATTTTCAAAAAAACAAAAGTACATAATAGCAACTCAAAGAGATCTGAATTACATTGGAATGACCAAGGGTGGTTTCTCGGACTAGGTTAAGTTCCAAGCAGAGCGTCAAAGGTAATGAGAAGCACAGTTGTCTAAATGAATCTGGAGGACCACGCAGGTGGAATGAGGGAAATGCCAAGACTGCAGTAAATCACGCAACCTCCAACCCACGTTACTTTATAGCTGCTGTAACAATAGACTGAACAACATGAATGATTAGTCAGCCAGATATTTTTGTTTGTCTGGTGACAAAACACACTTTTGATTATGAAAAACATGGAACTTGCTAACAGGCAATGCTGTCCCGTATTCAGAGAGGTCACTTTTTAAGTTTTTGAATTTTCAATTCATTTCCACTGACTGACGTGTGTAGAGTGACAAGGCTATGCTATATTTTTGGAATTATTATTTATTCATTTGCTTTGAGCTTTCTAAAATGGTAGTTATTATAAATCTATCCCAGATATTGTTCTCTCGTTTTCAAATATAAGTCAATATGAGAAGAGATGTGAACCTGTAACACTTTGTTTTACAGAAAGCTTTGTTAGGGATACGCATTTCATAAATCGAAGTACATCTGCACTGGGGTTGCTTTATTTGCTGTGTCTTGTTACAGAAAAAACGCAGATACTATTCGTCATTCTGTCTTTCTCATGGCAATCATGATTTTTGAAACTAAAAGAGATAATGCGCCCCCAAAATGATAAAAACAAAAACCAAAGCTCTCTCTTCCCACATTTGCCTCATCATACTGAATCTAATACTGCATCTTGTTCACTACAATATAAAAACAGTGAAATAAAGCAACTCATCTTGAGCCTACTTGGCAAGGCTAGAAACAAATTCTAGAGAAAGTGCCAAGTTTTCATTCAATTTGTTTCAATGAGGGTGAAACCAAGCTCTGGATGCTGCCTTTTTTCCCCCCAGAAACAAGTGATTTTTTCCTCCTTTTCACGTATTAAATTAAGATGATTTCTTTTTACTAAAGAATTCTGCTCATGTGTATACTCACTTACTGCCATATATTCTAGATAAACAGATATTAATTTCATAATTAAAAGTAATCTTGTGTAAATACCCTGCAGGCCTCAATGAATCAAACACATACTGTGTGTCAGGCCTCCCACTGTCTTCAAGTGGAATGTACTGGCTGGATAATTAGATAGTACATATTTTTTAACCTTATTTGCATGCATATTATATCTTTTGCACACTGACAAGCAGCAGTAACAACAAAAGTCAGATTACCACAGGGAATTCCCACAAAGAAGTCTTCATTCCTTATAATTTGCAGCCTAAATTAAAATAATTTGATCTTTGACAAGGATGAAATGTCAAGCAGAAGGGGGTCCTCTACAAGCCACGGCCTGTGGCTTCTGAAATCTGCCTAATTTATGTCAGTCACTTCTTAATACATATTTAAGTATTACACGAAAAAGATGATAAATATGCAATCTGACACCTTTGGTATTTCCCTGCTGTTAATTTATAAAGGTCTGGATTCCCCCAAACTGACTAAAATCATTTAAATAACAGAAGAATTGTGAAATAAGCTGGAGTTGGGGCCCGGCTTCCATTTTCACTCAATATTGAACACAGCGGGTAGTACACTAAGACAATTATTTGACTAGGCCTTAGAACCCCACTGTGACAAGTTACTTTCAGAATTAGTGAAGGAGTATTTCTTTGTTCATCTGCAGAAAAGGAGAGCATGTTGCAAAGAGGCCTTTTTTTTTTAATTGAACTAGGGGAGTTCCACGTGACAACTGAAAAACATCAGTGTATACTATTATTCACGTTTTCACTCTTCGGAGTCTTGTCACGTGTGGTTTTAAGGAAACAGAATAAGTAGCTCTCTGAAAAGTGAAAAAAATCCTCAAGAAATCCCAAAGAAGGACTGACGAAGAACATTGTGGATCCTATGAGAACAGGACAACGTACTTACATAAATTGCTATTTATTAATGAGTTGTTTCCACTAGTTCTTGACCCCAAGCTACCTTCCTCTGTTTGCTTTAACATTATGTTCATTAGTCTGGAAAATTTCAGCGCTGGTTCTGATGGAGCCCAGGGATTGGAGCACACCAGCTGAGTGCATGGAAATAAAAGCTGAGGTGAAGGCTATGAAATAGAAACAAGTTATAATACTGTGTCAGATAATATTTTCATCCGTTTTGAAGATTTATGATTTTTAAAAAGGTAGCTACAGAGGAAAAGAATATAAAAGCTTAAAAGCTAACAGCCTCGGCCAGTCAATAAATCCTGAATATTTTTATTATGTAGAGAAAAGGTCGTTAACATATAGTACTGTGGGAGCTATTTGCGGAGCGCAATGCTCTGATGCTGTTGTCCACCCTTTTCAGTTTTAAAATGGAAGATTTCATTCCAGAGACAAATTTGCCTAAAAGAAAAGAAGGTTTACAATTTTCTGCCAAAGTGTTTTAATTCTAGTTTACAGATAGACCCTGTGCCATATTATACAGAGGTGTTAAGGACAAGCTTTTATATGTGAATCTAGTATTTCAGATTCAGTTAACATGTCATTTGAGAGGAAAATTCAAAACATGAAGAACTTTGGAGAGCTGTACGTGTGGATAATAAATCTAAGTAACAGTTCATGATAAACTGTAAATATTTTTTCCATGCTGAGTCTAATTCTATGCCCAGGGCAGATAAAAATTATTCATAATTTTACTCAATGAAACATAAATACGTTGCTTTGTTCATTTTATAAAGTAACGTGGAGTAAATGACTTATCTAAGCCTACTTTCCGAAGTGTTTCTGCAAATTCATATGTAATGCATGAGACAAAATTATTTATGTTTTTTACAGAAAACTACTGTAGCAAACCTACAAATTAAAATAGACACCTATACATAAATGGCTTAATAATATCTCTTCTGATATTTGAAGGCTGTGGTACTCTACATTTTGCCAGTGATCAAACTCCATGTTTTTTGAGAAGCATTGGTAAGTTTTATCGATAAAACACAGTGTGATATAGGTGCTCAGAACATGCCTTTTTGGTGGTTTTAGTATTAGCTGGCAGTCCAGTGAGGGTGATGGAAGTGCTGATTGTGGATAATCACAAGACATCTTTCAGAATGGAATGAAAGGTAGCAGGTAAGCGAGAGGAAGACGGGGGCAAACCCAGAAAACAGCGAAATTCGAGACTGGAACCATGGGCCCACACACGCAGTTGTTGAACACGTTGATCATAACAATAACATTGCTGGTTCAAGATATCAAGCATGAGCCATAAGTATTCACAGAAAACCAGTTTAATTTTACATATTTTTCCTTTCTAGCAGATACAGTGAAAGCTAGAAACTAATCTTGGAATAATAGAATTCTTACCAAATGTTACCTTATTAAAAATAACTTCTGGTAAACTCGAAAGAGAATTTTCACCTTTCAGTCATTCACTCTCCTTTTACCTATCTCATTTCAGCTTCACTCTCCTCACTAAGAAAAATTATGACATATTTTTCCTAATGAAATGATAACGCTATACCTCACGCCCACCACCTTTCTTGTTCTTTCCTGGAATAAAGAGTTATTTTTTGTTTTGGACTTAATGAGTCCACCTTTTGTTTCCTATGATCATCTTTGATGAGGTCCACATTTTTACCGCCTCCCTTCATCTTTGCTTCTGGAACTTCATTGCAAACAAACAAACGAAACCACCTGGGAAGCTTTAGAAGAGAGGGTATCTTTATTTGTTCTTATCTCTCTCTATCTCTCTCTCTCTCTCACACACACACACACACACAAGGACAGCAGGAAGAAACTTTTGGAGGTGATGGATATGTTAATGGCATTGATTGTGGTGCTGGTTTCACAAGTATATACTTATCTCCAAACTCATCAAGTAGACACAATAAATATGTACAGTTTTTGGTATGTCAACCGTGTCTCAGTAAAGTGGTCTGAAAGAAAAATCTATTCACAAGTTTCATTTCTCCCATCCTAAAATAGTGTTTTGGTAGGACTAAAACTAGGCTATGGCCCTCTAAAATGCCTGTACAGGGTGATTTTGATACAGGTGGGGCACAAGCTAAGCTGGGAAAGTCTGTTCTATTGCCTTTAGGAGCCCTGTGCTTTCCAGGTTACTGGGCAATAGCAGTCTTTTCTGGTCCTGCTAATTTAGTTGTGTCCTCGACACTCTTCTTGCTGTTTGTTAATTATTGAGATCATTTAGGTTTTATAGAACTACTTAATCAGTAAGACAGCTCTCAGTATTTTGTGATAGAAATTGGTGGCCTTGAAACTTACCACTCTTCCCAGTCTCACTGACTAGCAAAAGACTGAAATGCTTTGGAAAATGGGCTATTTTATTCTCTCACGGACTTTGTCTGGTACCTGGAGCAAAATAAAAATCCGTGAACTTCAATCCCAGATGTTGACCTGAGATTCTTAGGGACATATCTATGCCCCAAATTTTGCTTGTAATATAGTATCCTGTAATTTTAAAG